TTTTGCACAAACCTAATAGCGGCTTTTTCCCCTTACGGGGGCTGCTAAAAATTCGCCTTCAAATGAAGATTGACATAGATTGCACTTATTATAAGTTTGGTATAGTCGTCCAGGCTTGCTGCCCTGCCTCATCGTGGCACTCGGAAACCTTGTGAGAGGGGACAGCTATACAAAAGGGTAGCAACCCAAGGCTCCCGTGGGAGTCCATAAGAGAGTATGAGTGTATCCTCAATGCACTGTGTAAAAGAGCTCCCTCAGCGATCTGTCAACGTCCCGCAGGGATAGCCTGGTAGATCAAAGGAAAATGAAGATGCCCCGGTGTACGCGACTTCCGACCGCCTGTCTAGTTCCGAGTCCGGATTGTCAATGCCACTGGAAGTGAACACAAAACTAAACTTCGAGTTTAACCCCGAGTCTCACCCGCTGTCAGACAGAAAGGTGTATGCGAGGTGTACACAGTTCATTCAGGTCTGTAGAAGGGAGCTCTTGTTTGCTTTTGCTGGCCTTAGGGTTCCAAGTACTATGCACAACTCTACATGCCATTTCCTAATGGTGAAGGCGCTGGCGATCTCAGTGACAGACAGCACATATTTAAAATGATTGATTTCAATTACTTTTTACTGAGTTTTGTGTAAGTGCTTATTTTCAAAAATAAACGAACACATTGATATTTTATGAGTTATGAATAGAGTTCAGAAGTAAAATTTCCCAGCTCAAGCCAACACTTTCCGATGTAAAAAAAAGAATTAGAAAATCAGGAGAAAAAAATCTTATAAAATATATGTTACATTCATGCATCTAATTTTGTTTTTAATTATTTAAAAAACGCTAAAAACTTTATTCAATAATATTAAATGGATTTAGCCTATATTTTTAAAAATAATGTTATAACCCTATTCACGACGCAAAAGGGTTAACTGTGTGTGATCAGCTGACATAGGTGACACAGGCCAGTAATACAGTTTAGCGTGCTATATGGAAAGGCAACGGACAGTACTGGCATGAACTTTGCATGTGAATAGCGCCCGTGTTATGGTCATCTGATCATAGGCCTGCGAAGACCAGAGACACTGTGTGTAAGAAAGCGGCGGTTCAAGACAGGAGAGCGTTGAGACTGGGACTGTTAGTCTGCCATGAAGTCGGTCCTGGTGGAGTCCTGAAGTGAATGTACGAGTCCAGGAAGAGATAGAGACAGTAGAGTTTAGTACAGTGATATACAGTTTAACATTCGTAGTAGCTTATTGAGTTGCCAATTGTGTCATATTGGCTGTTTATTTGACCCTTATTAAAGTACCTGATATTGTGGAGCTCTTGTTGTCAGGTTCTTGATGTGTTGATGTATTGTGTTGTGTGTTTAGCAGTGTTTACAGAATGCCTGATTAGGAGAGAGAGAATCGTAACAATAAGTTTCATCGTGTAAGGGTGATTAGTTTATTCATATTTCATACAGACATACATGGCTAGATACCTAAATATATCTATACACAATAAATATATAACTCTAAATAGGCTACATTTGTTTCTGCTACACACACTTTTGTTTGAAATTATACAAAATGTCCAAAACATTTCACCATACTTTATATCACCAGTCCAATGCTAAACTTTCATGTGCCAGTGGCGTGAATTTAAAAAAAAAAAGTCAGATGGGTTCGTTGTCTACTTAACTAGGGGTGCATATACTTGCATTGAGTTCCCGGGTTCTCTCCCCATCTGAACAGTGTAAACCAAAGCAAAGAGTACTAGCATATAAAGTACGAAAACATAATCAAGGAATAAATGTCATCTAACTGGAACGTTACCGTGTAAACAACAGTTGTTCAAAACGAACACTATTTCATAATAGATTAATAGTAGATTAACAAGATATTTCCGCGTTTCTTTATTTCATGGTGGTTAACATTACATTAATAATTGTCCAAATTCCACATGCACACTCCATCTCGGCGCCCTGCAGATCAGCAGCTCCATACAATACAGACAACTTTAGCTAGAGGCTCCAAGGGCGAGAAGGCGACACTCTTTCCCATTGTCCAGCACCCTGAAACAAAAAAACAAACAACCTGGATCTAGCGATGCCGCTACAACAAAGAATGGTTTCATTAGCGACACCCGTACCGAAAGATCAGCCTACTTACTAAAACTATGTACCGTTAAAACCGTTAAAACTGGGAAACAGAAAACCAGCTTATTGTGTGTGTATCCTCCTTTAAAAGACTTCTTTTTCCGAGTCCTATAGATAACCGTGAGACTAAATTATAATTTCTAAATCTGTATCTCCATATTTTTAGGTTGTGAATATGGCGACCGAGATAATGATGGCCACAAATACTCTCATTTACTTTGTTCAAATGTTTACTACCAAAATCTTTGCTGTGATTACTGTTTATAAGTCTCTACAATGTATCAACCGCATTAGATATATCTAATATATAAAGCACAAAGTAATTAGTATGTATGTATGTGTTCAGTGGCGTCACTAAGGGGGGTGTCACCAGTTGCGATCAGCTCCCCCACTGTCCAAAATAACTTTATGCAATTAGAAATATTTTTTACCAATTAGTTTTGTTTAGCGCAATTTCATGCTTTTAGCGTTCTCGATACAATGTGATCCTATAACTTGTCTGGAGTCACACCTAACCTGTAAAAAACGTAAATGATACATCTTGACTGGAATCCGACTTTAGAAGACAAAGATACCCCTTTCCAATGTATATCCGCATCTCAGCGGGCAAAAGTCCTCTAGAATACTATAACGTCCGCATCACAGCGGTAACAGAATAACTTCAATAATATATATCCAGGTCTAAGTACAGGAAACAACTACTAAAAATATATGTTCTGTATCTACTGCGTTCAAGTGACCACTCAAATCAAAAGACTAAAAGTTACTACTGACTAAAAGTCAATTTAGTCATTTTTACTTCCTCTTCCTATGTCCGATGTTTCTCGTGCTTTTCACCTTCGTGACCCCGGGTAAACATGTAACAGGCAATGTCAAGCGAGACTGTGACAACATGTCTTAAAAATAATAGTTGTAGTTTTTAAATTATTATAGTTTTCAAATGTGGCAAAATATGTAGGTCAAAACTCGGGCTGCTTAACCACGGGAAATATTGGATTCCTCATTAATCTTCGGACTCGAAGACAAGACTTAGTATTAGTTTTTGAGAAATTATGAATTTTATTATTTTTTTTGCATGTATTTATTTTTTATATTGCAATAAAAGTACTGGGTACGTCTTTTTTTTTTAATAATTAGTATTTACAAAATTTAAGCATTTTTTTTATAATAAAAAAAAAGAGGCGCGGTGGCTGAGCGGTAAAGCGTTCGAATCCTGGTGAATACTGGATTTTTAATTTGGGAACTTTGGGCACCTCTGAGTCCACCCAGCTCTAATGGTTACCTGATTTTAGTTGGGGAAAAGTAAAGTCTTTGTGCTGGCCATATGACACCCTCTTTATCCATGGGCCACAGAAACAAATGACTTTTACATCATCTGCCCTATAGATCGCAATGTTTGAAAGAGGAACTCATACTTTTTCTAATTAAAAAAAACCATTTGTCTCTATAAACAGGATAGGAAAAAAAATATATAAATAAGTTTTAAAAGTTCAAGATCAATAAGCAATAATTTTTCCCTACATCCTGAGCATTTTCAAAAGAAAATAATAAGAAATACACAACAAAATGGCTGCTGTTGCCATAGCGTCAACAGTTTTACTTTTTTTTTGTAGCTTATTAATAGGGTACTCACACATAACCTCCCTCTATATTATCATTGGATTTGAAGCATACCCTTTTATATTTCTTTTTTCTTTCAAGGTGTAGTTCCATTAGAGTGCCTCTGAGTTTGTGCTATCACACAAACTGTCTTTGTACTTTTGTTTATCTTTTTTTTCAAACGATTAGATATTCACTAAATACGATAAGAATTAAGATTTTGCTTATGTCCAGATGCTGTTTGTATACACTATACAGTACCAGATAATACACTGAACAAGGATTTGTTTTTTTAAGACTTAAAAGCACAATCTGAAAATGATATCGAAACAAATAATATCATTTGCCAGCCACGTCATTCTCCCTCTTCATTAGTCTTCATGTACTTCTTTATCTGGCTTCCTTTGATGACAATCTTATCAGGACTATCTTGACTTTAACTTGAATCTTTTTCCTTGGAAATTCGCTTCACATTGGATGACATGCCTCGCTATCTGAGAAATCGCAATCACTAGAACTGGACCTCTGCAATGCCTTTATCCACAATTGATTGTTACTATGATATGCATATTAAAACGTTAAATAAACAATACATTTTTCATGCACAAACACTAAGACCAATTTAATATCAATATAGTTTTTCATCTGTACTTAAAACTATAATTATATTTATCATCACTCAAACTTAAAACTTTAAACTTTCTTAAAAGATTTCAAATGGAAAATAACTCAACTCAAATTTGTTTTAACAGCTCAATCCCTCACTGTCAAGGAAAATCGTGAATAATTATGTAGTTTAAAAAATAACTAAAAAAATTATTGACGAATAAATCTATATTGTAACGCAGTCTGCATAAATGTCACTTCGTTATGTCTAGTTACTAGTAGTTTGCTAATATGATTGTCAGCGAATTTTGTTGTACGTGATATATTGGAGTGTTTTTTTTTCTTTGACATATGTGGATTCGTAGGTGCCGTAATTATAGTACAAACCACTTGAACTCTTTCTCTCCTAACTGACGATACCAGCGTTGTTTCCACCAGAATGTGCTAAATACATACGGAGAGAAAGAGTTAAGAAACAATGAAGTGACACTTTGCAGATATATTTCCCGAGTTTAATTCTTTTTAACTTAAACTTGAAAAAACAAATAAATATTTATACAGATCACGTGCAAAGTAAATACAATAATAAAAATGAGTAAACAAACCAACTTTTTACTTTAAAACTAGCAACTTATAAATTTAACGTTCAAATCAATATTTCCAAGCCTACTCCCCCCCCCCCCCTCCAAATGAGCTTCTCTTAACGTCACATGATGTCAACACCACAACCTTCAACTTGGCTTTTATTTATTCTTTTTCTTTGTCTATATTAAATTATATTTCCCTGCTGTAGCCTTGAACTAGTTTTCTATCAAGTGTCAAAACGTGTTACGTAATTGGAAGGCTGACACACTGACCTACATTATGTGAACGACATTGATGTGTCTACAAGGATGTGACAATGATCATTAAAGTAAATTTCCCCTTTCAGATTAAAAATGTTGTATCCAACAAGATGACTTTTTTTTAAGGGATGGCCTCACCACCAGATCCTTGCGATCTATAGGGCAGATGATGTTAAGGTCATCTGTTGTTGTTTTTTTGGGGCCAACGGTTAACGACCTATCGCCATTACTTTCCCCAAAATAAAATCAGGCACCCATTAGACTCATGGGCCCCCTAAAAATCCCAAAATGTCAAATTCCAGTCTTCACTGCGATTCGAACCAAGGACCCCAGGTTCGGAGGCTAAACGCTTAACCATTTAGCCACAGTGCCCCCCCCCCTCAACATTCTTATATCTTACACAATTAAAAAAATATCTATGAACTTGAACATTTGTAACCATCATACAAATGAACTATTTTTAATTATGTTCGTTTTTTTTTAGAAGGACTTAAAAATTTCGAATAAATAAAAATATGTTTAAAAGTCATTGAATGCTAATAGTCGAATGTTTTCCTGCTTTAATAAATAAAACAAGGATTGTTTATTTCCGTTACAACACTTGAGCGATGTTACTAATATTATATCCTAACAGATCACTTTCTTTATGGACGAGCTGGTCCCACCACCAAGCTCTACTGTATCCTACACAATGTACTAGGGCTCCACTACTTCCTGGGCATGTACTTGTTGTGTAGGCAAATTTTGTAAAGTTCTTTCGATCTAACTTGACTTTTTTCTTCCAGTGGCCTACACTGACTTGCTTGGAACAACCATGCGGATGTGATACTATGATTGTCAACCTGAAAATGTCTCTGGACCTCTTATATTTTTTATTCACCTTTTCCCAGAAATAAAGAAAATTCTCCCAATGGTGCATTAGCTTCTCTGCCAAATTTTGATCGCATGTTATACCTTTCAATTTGCAGAAGTCTCGATGGATGTTCACAACTTGAACTTTGACCTTATCTACAGTCACTTTAGGACTATCTTCAGCGTCGTAAAATAATCTTAGGACTGTGTGCTCGGCTTCGTGTTGGTCAAACACCACGTGGGCAGCAGTGAGCACTTCAAACTCCCACCAGACATTGCTTGGCGAGCCAGACACTCCACATGAGGAGCACCAGCATTGCATCCTCCATGGCGTGTCTATGTAGGTATAGAAGGTGTCCGTGAACTGTACCACGGCACTGATCACCCCACTTCCTGTATGGGAGTTTGTCGCTTTCCCTCTCGTGTTATGACCAGGATAGGATTTATCTGTCCCTGGCCAAAAGGTAGGTCTGTGGGGACTGATCACGTCGACGTGGATTCGCACCGTAAGGTCAGACTGAGCCTTTATTAAGTTGTACACGTTTAGGTCTTGGTGACTTTCTGGTAGATGCTCTAAAGAAAACAGTAAAATAGGTGTAAAGCTTGTGTGGCCTGGGTTTTTCTTACAAGTAGAAACATGTTTCTGAAGGTGGGCTTCTTCGGCTTTACTTTGAACTGTGAATAAAATTGAAATAGTTTCTTTTGATATAGATCTGTCTATATAAATTATCACAATTAAACAAATTATTTATTGTTACAATGATGTCAGTCCAAGTGCCAGATTTTTGAAAATAGGCTACGACAACGTTTATCTGCAACCATTCTCTGAACTTAATCAAACAAAACGTTTAAACACTGTCTGTTCAAAATTTTTCAATACTAGACCCAGGGGGGAAGAAGTGGGTATCTGTGTACATTTTACCGTGATCGCTTTTTAAATGCATAACAAAATGTGTCTACCCAGGGCTTAAGCCTTCTCTGGGGGACTAATTCAAGTTGTACCACCACATCTCTCAAGTACGATTTCTTTCCCTTGTTCGATACTAAAAAATTTATTAAATACCAATGGTTAATTAATTAATTTTTAAAAAAAATTGATTCTTGTTCTGCCAAGTGCAAGGAATAATTGTGAAATATTTCAACTTGATCCGAGAATGGGAGAAAAAACTTGTTCAAACCTTTTACCACAAAGACAGGCAGACAGACAGACAGAGTTGATAAAAGCTTTGTAAAAAAGAAGAGTCAACTTCAACTATTTTCTCGAACGAGCGTCTTCATGTTTAATGTCAATGAAAGCTTTTTTTATGCCAAAAGCTTATTGTGATTGTAGTGGGCTGACACCATTAGTTAAATTGTACCGGATAGATCAAACTCAGCTACGCCTCTAACAAGAGATTTAGAAGCAATCTGCTTTTCATTTCCAGGAAAGAACGTTTTCAGGTTTGAAAGCAGAAGAATGAGCTGCCTATGTAAACATATGCACCTAAATGGAGGAGCTATTTCATGTCTGGGGCATTATTTAAAGTACAGCGCTATTTCGTCCTAACTGGCATAGAGAAAAGTAGCTGGCATAAGATGGCATATGAAAGAGACGGTTGCAGAGCTCTGACATAGGCCGCGGGAAAAACATTTGAGCCCTCAAAGAAAAGTCATTATTGAAGACAGGAATAGACAGCCGGCAGACAATGGCTTTGTGTGCAGGAAATGCGGGAAAATATGTAGGTCGCAACTGGGTTTGCGTACTTATGTGAAATCGTGTACTCTTCCTTAATTTTCGGAATCGAAGTCAATTTCAAAACATTGCCATGATTTAAATAGTACTTAAAGATATGAATATCGTTTATTCAATGTATGCCTAATAGTCTATTGCCTAAATGCTCAGTTGTAATATTTAATGTTAATTGTCAAGAAAGAATATCAGATCATACAGCATTAGTAGCATCTTGATTGTAACAAAAATGTAACTAATCAAACATAATTACTACCATTAAAACTCAAACATATTAATTACCTTGGCTCTCAGTGTTCATACTAATCAGTGATAGGTCAATTTAGAGCTTTAGAATTCCTAAAACAGTTAACAAACAAATATATATATTTTCATTTCAGTTAAGGCTTTAAAAAGTAATTTTCTAACCCAATCTTATGAAATAAAATTACAAATGTTAGCTGGATATTGCTAAAACTAAATATATTAGTCACAATTTGATCCATGACTTCACAAGTATTTTATTTAGTTGAACTGTTTAAGCTGATCTAGTTACTGCATGCACTTACCAGTTCCGTTAGACTGCCTCTTTATAACTCTCAAACAGAGTTGGTTGGTCGCTCCTAGTTTGGCTTCTCACCCTACTACTGAAGTAGATTTATAAAAAAAACAAGGCAGCGCCATCGACACTTGACGTAGGCACTTGACATACATCAAAAAGTCAGTGTTGAAAAAGGATGGTTCATTAAATGTTGCTACTTTATCAACCAATGACAAAGGAAATACTGAACAAAAGAAACAAATGTGGTTTCCAGTACAGTCCCATCGAACAAGTTTGTTTCTGTTTCTATTACTGTTCTATTCATTTAGCCCACTTATAAAACTTTACGACCATATCACAAGGTCCTACAGGGCTTGCAAAGATCTTTCTTCAGGGAACAGTAACAGGAAAAAGAAGAGGCAGAGAAAGAGTTGGGAAGACAATATAGAGTCACCGGGCATGTCATTGGAAGAGATTCTAGTAAAGACAAAAGACCGAGAGGAATGTTGAAAGACGGTTAACAGATCATGTGTGTCGTATGTCGCACCAACGGGTTAACAGACTAAAGTGATAATTGAAGGTAAATAAATGTATACAATTTAATACTAGATAAATGGTCTATTTCTTCTCAGCATACATGAGTAGGACCACATTCACATAAATTACAAGTATTTGTTTCGGTTGGACCCACTGCCTTGATGTTCCTCTATTATGGAGTACTCAAAAGCTGTGTCTTTAGGGGTTTTTTAATGCAGGGGAGGGGGGAATGAAATCCTAGGATTCTTTTCATGAGTTTTTTTGTTCAACTTTCTTTGAATTTTTAGATAAGTTAACATTCTACTTCAGTTTCCCTAATTTGGAGTTACATTAACATCATGTATTCTGTTTGATGATTAGTTAGTTTGAATATTTGAGAGGACGTTTTGGAGATTGGTGGTCTCCAATTTTTTATTGTAGTTATGTCAAATGTAAGACGAGTCTCCTGGCAGTAAAGATTATTATTATTACTATGTTAAAAAATGAACTAATATTTATTCTCTGGCACTGTCAGGGTCGAGCTTCGTTAGAGAGAAGCAAAATGTATTTTAGTTTTAGCAAAAGTATCAATAATTTTATCGAAATCAATTTTTTCCACCAGCTCGTGTTCAATGGACAAAATGGCCATATTAGTGAGTCGTAAATTTGTTATCGTTGATCGCAAGTAATTCTTGATCTGTTTAAGTTTGGAAAAACTTCTCTCGAATGTAGCGACGCTTACCGCAAAAGTCAAAAATATGCGAATCATGATGACGATATTTGGGACTGAATCATCTAGCTGATATTTTTTAAAATAAATTTCAAGAGCTCAATAGGTCCTTGTTTTGAAAATTCGGAGGCTTCTGATGAAACTGTGAGAAACCGTTGAAGCCTCTTTCGCTCCAGCAGAAATTCGTTTTTTATCAATGTCGCTAGGAATACTATCGAGATTGATTTCGACCTGAGGATTTAATAGCTGGGAAGGCGACAAAAATTCATATCTATCTGCTACATCATGAAGTTGCTCGAATCGGGTGATTATATCTTGAACTATCCTGTTCAAGGTAGAATAAATTTCCCTTCGTAGCTCTTCTTTGTGTGTAAGTACAGAGTCGTCACTTTTCTCACCAGGCATCTTTTTCTTATGGCCAACACGTTTTTGAGGTTCTGTACTGATTCTCAGATCTGAGCACACGCTTTCGGCAAAGGTAATGCTGGCTTCAGCGATGTCCTCTCGATTACTACTTAAAAATGTCTAATGTTTTTAGTTTGAGTGTGCAGTCTCGAACAGACAATCCTTGTTTTTGAAGGTAGACTTGCGCATTATTAATTTCAGTTAATACAGGAGCCCAAAATCCAAGATAGGTGAGAAAACTAAAAGACTGAATAGCAACTAATAATCCACCTGCTTCAGATCTAGTCGATGAATTTTCATCTCTGCTAGTTAATGTCTCCAGAGTTTCTATAATTTTAGAAAATTTATCCCTAACCATCTTGACGGCTTCTCCTCTGGCGCTCCAGCGGGTCTAAACTAAACGTTTAAGGCTAGTTCCGGTTATTTTGATGAGGATATCCCAGCGGTGTGTTGAAGTTGAGAAAAAGGCGTGTAAACGGTCAGTGTACCAAAAAATGTTACCGAATTGACTTTAGCTTTAGCAGCTCGAATTCCTGATGAATTAAGAGAATGGTTTGAGCAGAAAATGCTTTGGGATTCACTTCTAGAATACGTTATTGGACACCGTAGTTTTAACCTTTCATGACCG